TGACAAGAAGAGAAAAGTATTCATTTTATTTTAAACTATGCTTGGGTAGTAAATAATGACCCTAATAACATTTTGTCTTATTACTTGGGGTTCTGACATGGTTTCTTACCTTGGGTTTCCCATTGACAAACCTCAAGGTGAGAATGAGAAAATATTATAAAAGGGTAGGATTGTCTATATGTTTTATGTCAGTTCGAGTGTTTCTTGTTAACAGGGAAAATCTGCAGGAATACAAGTTTTTAATCTGGTACATGGAACATTTTAAAACACTTGTTTAATAGTGCAAAGAAACTTATAGCAAACAAATGCCAGTTTACTGTATTCAGAGTGTTAGATGATGTTTGATTGCTATGAATCAGCATGGCTCTTTTCACTGTCCTATTTAATAAAACTGCAGATGGCCTTTGTCACAACTATTAAGTTAAACTAAATCTTTCCTTTTTTTTAAGAGTCCTAAAGTAAAGTTTTTTTTAACCTGCTACAAATATCCTTGTTTTAAATTATTTCTATTGTTTGTGTTTTTCTTTTGCAGCTTTCACTACAAAATGCCTATCCTCAAACAGTCCAGCTCTCACGCAAAGAAACGAACCCGCATAGATCGAGAGATGATCAGTGCCCCTTTAGGGGATTTTAGACACACAATGCACGTTGGTAGAGGTGGGGATGTGTTCGGAGATACATCTTTTCTCAGTAACCATGGCCCTGCCTCTGCTCCACCAGTGGAAGTACCAACCTCTAAGAAAAATGGCCATCTAAAACTGACTGGAGATCATGAAGAAAATAAAACATCTGACTCACTAAGTCACCTTTCTCAGTCCTCAGGAATAGGCTCTGGTGCAGGAAGCATTTCTTCCAGCCCTGTTAATCATGCACCATCTAAAGAAGACAGCCTATGGAATAGCAGCAATTCTGGTTGTCACTCAGATCAAGTAGATTGGCTACCACTGGATTGTGGGCTTAAACATGCCGAATCGATTTTGTCTTTCCATTTTGATCTTGGCCCATCTTTTTTGGATGATGTTTTGGGTGTAATGGACAGAGATGCTCCCTCTGACTGGAATAGTCCAGATGACCAATGTGATTACAAATTTTCTGCAGAAAGCAGTAAGCTTACACAGCTGTCTTCCATCACGGAGTCCCCAGGAAGCCATTACAGTCTCTCTACCACACTTCCTGTAACCAACCCTACCTTGGAGTACAGTTCAAATGTCCTCTATGACAACTTGGAAGGAAACCAATCAGCTTATGAAGGGGATAGTGAAGAAGAAAAACGATCTATCTATGAAGGGGTTGCTGACACTCCAGCACAAAATGAAAACCATTTTCACACTATTCACTATGAAGAGCTTGATGAAGAGGAGGAAGTTGGCCAAGGATATACATTTGAAGAAGACCTTGATGATGAGATTGGTGTATAGGAATACAAACTATAAAATACATAAACTTTATGGACTTGCTCACATGTTTCTATGGTAAACATGGTGGGGCACAGAGAAACGGCTTCATATGGTATAAATGTTATACATTGGACTGTATACAGAAAATAACTTTTTTTTTTTCTGTCTATTCAAAAAGAATATACTTTATACAGAGCCAATTTCCACTTTATCTGTTCCTGTTCTGGGAATTTAAGACTTGTAACTTTTCACTGAGTAATAAGACAAATTTTCATAGATATTAGCCTGAAAAATAGGTCTTAATACCCACTGGTTGAGGGAATTGAGCATTTTCGGATTTTTTTTGTTTGTGTAATATAAAATGTAATTTATCCTGATGTTTCATTATTGTAGATTTTTTTTTTTTCTCCTTGTAAAATTTTCTTTGTTGAAAATGTTTCACTCCCGTTATTGATGCATATGTCTCATAAGATTGTGATAGAAACAGATTTTTACTCTCAAAATACAATTGTGATAGAAACAGATTTTTACTCTCAAAATACAAATGCATAAACACATTTTGGGAAGCAGTGGACCACTTTTTTTGTAAAAAGGATTTGCAAAAATCCAGTGAAATTACATTTTGCAGCTATGACTATTTGACACCTACACCTTTTTAAATGAGGTTATGAGGATATCAGTAGAGCAAATTTGTATGTGTATATGTATGTGTTATTTATAGATCTATATAGATAGATGTATATGTGTGTGTGTGTATATATATATATACACACACACTCTATATTGCCAAAAGTATTGGGTCGCCTGCCTTTACATGCACATGAGCTTTAATGGCATCCCAGTCTTAAGGTGCCCATACACTGCACGATTATCGTACGGGAATCGTGCAGTGTATGGAAGGCGTGTGACCGTACGATTTTCGGCTGGTTTTTAGCATGATCGAGAGAACTGCCGAACGGGCCGGTGTGTGGCCCAAGATCGTACGTTCTTTTAATTACTTTGCAACCCTTGCAAGACAAAAGTCTTGCGAGGGTTGTAAAGTGTATGGCTACCTTTTTAGTCTGTAGGGTTCAATATTGAGTTGGCCCACCCTTTGCAGCTATAACCGCTTTAACTCTTCTGGGAACGCTGTCCATAAGGTTTAGGAGTGTGTCTATGGGAATGTTTGCCCATTCTTCCAGAAGCGCATTCACTGAGCTCCTGAGAATGACCCATTCTTTCACAAATGTTTTTAGAAGCAGTCTTCATGCTTAAGTGCTTTATTTTAGGAGTTTGTGGCCATGGAGGTGATTGGAACACCTGAATCCAATGAGTGAGTGCGTGTGTGCATGTATGTATATACATACATACATACACATATGTATATATATACACACACACATACATATATCCCACTTAAAAAGATGAGAGAGGCCTGTAATTTGGAACAAATTTGCAAATTATGGTGGAAAATAAGTATTTGGTCAATATCAAAAGGTCATCTCAATACTTTGTTATATATCATTTGTTGGCAATGACAGAGGTCAAACGTGTCCTGTACGTCTTCACAAGGTTGGCACACACTGTTGCTGGTATGTTGGCCCAATTCCTCCATGCAAATCTCCTCTAGAGCAGTGATGTTTTGGGGCTGTCGCTGGGCAACACTGACTTCGTTGCGGTATGTTTGGGATCATTGTCATGTTGAAAGACCCAGCCACGTTTCATCCCCCTTGCTGATGGAAGGAGGTTTGCACTCAAAATCTCACGATACATGGCCCCATTCATTCTGTCCTGTACTCGGATCAGTCGTCCTGGTCCCTTTGCAGAGAAACAGCCCCAAAGCATGATGTTGCCACCCCCATGCTTCACAGTAGGTATGGTGTTCTTTGGATGCAACTCAGCATTCTCTCTCCTCCAAACACGACGAG